TCAAGCTGATCTGTGTTTGTTCTCTCTCTTGTGTCAAAAAGATTGATTGGGGGACGCGCGAATCGCTTTTGTTCTTAATGATGTCTCAGGATATTTTGTGACTGATTGACATGTGGACTGACAAGTACCCTTCGATTGGGCGCCGGCCTCCCGTATCTCCCATCCCAACGCGACCTTTTCCTTACAGTAAGGAAAGGACACGTGTATGTGAGTGGGAYGTACGAGAAGCCGTTGCACAAATCGGCGGCCAGTATTACTTCCCTCCGGACAACCGCTGTTCTGGGTTCGTAGAAGCCGGGTTTGTTATTATCGATACGCACTTCCCACCTTACTCGGTATTGTTGCCATTTAACGAGTTGATCGTCATTCCGTGGACGRCARTAGAACCCCACTGGCCGCGCACTCTGTGCACCGAATGTCAGCGTTTTGAGCGCWACGAGTCCAGGGGTTTTCACTACCRTRTGCGGAGCGAAGACRAGCATAAAGAAAGAGCCACGCGRCTRAGACCCTCCACGTCAGACTCGGAACTAACCAGCGAACGACGACGAGACTTGATACGAAAACGAGATACGCGAAGCGTGGCCAAGCCTTTCTGTTCTAAACGACGGGCTGTAGCCCGGTGGGAGGCACGACAATACTTTTTGGATTGAATTTGGATCTTTCCCTCTCTTCCCGCCTTGCCCGCGCGCGCATTTCGCGACGCGCGAAAACGATCGACTTGCTCCATCAGACCAACACGGGGGATTTCAGTTCCGTCTGTGTCCCCACACTCAATTTCCAAAAATCCTTGGCACACCCCATCTTGCTGTTTTTCTGGGCCTCTTTTCCGCACAGCTAACACTCCAAACGGAAGACAACACAAGGCGTGAGGTTGGTATCGGAGCCGACACGTGTCGGTTCTGATGATAGCAAGACGAATTGGCGAGAGGTACGAGAGACCCTCAACTAGCTCGTCGAGATCGCCCCGTAGCCAGGTCTCAGTCTAGTGCGTTTGCGCCAGCAATACCAATGGTGGACGGTACTAGGGTGATCGTTAGCATCCCTGCCCCCTTCCCCTTCTTCCCCAACCATACCCATCCCGAGGCTTGGCTGGAAGCTGTCGAAGCTCGAAACTACAGCGCAGCCGATCTTCCCCGTATTCTGACCCTACTACTCTGCAATACATCGCACGACTGGTTCAGAAAGCATACATGGATAGATTGGGAGAAGCGTGCATTCTTGGCTCGATTCGACACAGTTAGTGAAGATGCCGCCTGGTACGTACTCAAAAATCGACCCCAAGGACCAGGGGAACTGTTACCCGATTTCGTTGATCGGTTTCAAACCTCATTGGATAAATCTGGGCGAGACGAGAAATCCGCTCGAGATTTGTTTATTGATCATCTTCGAAGTCTGACCTTGAAAGGGAAACTGCAGAAAAAGGTTCCACCGAAAACAACCTAGTTATCGGCTATCATCACCAAAGCGTTGGAGCTAGACTTGGCCGATACAAAAAAATATATCAGCCAGGGAGACGAGGACATTACAGATACCATACGGGATGTAACGGCCAAAAGGCGATCATGGCTACAAGTAGTCGAGCGGTTTTATCCCCGCCACGACCATGATCTTCCCGGCGGAATCGTTTCCGATATCCCGAATGCTTCTCCTCCCTCTCCCCCGGTGAATCAATCGATCGCAGCCGTTAGAAGCGGAACTTCATCTGAACCCTCCTCGCCGGCCATAACCAATTTGCATCTCGCCCAGATGATCCATACGGCCACCACCAAGCAGTCCGAATGGATGAGCAACTTGATCCAATTGCAGGCAGCGCACATGGAGCGAATGGAACAGATAATGAGTAAGCTCATTAAGCCCAACCCAGCTCCTGCTCGGCCTGCCCCAGCATCGTTTCCGCTCTTACCTGCTCCGCCTGCTCCAGGATTTGCCCCTTAGTTTCCCCGTCCAGCTAATCCGGCAGGAACCCGGGCATTTCGCCCGGGACTGTCCGCAGTCGAAACGTAATCAACCTCCCCTGGTGCGGCCCCCGTTGCCCTTAATCAAGGACGAGTAGCCGCTTTGATGGATATGGATCAAGGAAGAGAACTCGTGGCATATGCCACAGAGCAGCCCTCCCCTTCGATGGCAACGACATCGTTATCGGGAGCTTCTTCCCCCGACGCTGCTGACGTGGTCGATCCTCTCGAGTATCTCCATCTCGCAGGCATGATCGGAGCGATCCGATCGGTCCCAGATGATCTCGAGTGGGTCGATCGCGAATCCAATCCAGGACCGCAGTATCGGAGAGGAGACATTGATGTACTGAGAACGCTCAAGCAGTTAGACATCCGCGTTCCTATCCCCGTAGGGCATCTGCTCACCATATCTGATGCGGCGAACGATAAACTTTTACAACACTGCCAGAAAAATCAAAAGCGTTTCACCTATCAACGCATACAACGGATGTTGAAGAAGAAGGAAGAAGGTGAAAAAGTGGTATCCCCTGAGCCGGACACTAAAGAACCTGAAGCCGCACGCATAGCCGCCATCTCTTTAGCAGAAAAGGATCACTTCGTACGAGCTCGGCCAGTACTATGGAAAAGTGCGGAATGTGACTGTGAAGTTTGGGGTAAGCCGTTTCATGCCCTAATTGATACAGGGTCTTCTGCAGTGGCCATATCATTGGAGACTGTTAAAAAGACGGGACGACTTGGATCCATTCTTCCTCAATCTGGCAAAGACAATTATGTCTCTGCCGACGAGGAAGTAATGAACATTGTAGGCATTATCGAGAACGTGGCTGTAAAGGTCGGGCGAGTACACGTCCTTGTTAACGCACTCGTAATAGATGTACGTTCCTACTCTGTGTTATTGGGATTACCTTGGGCAATGGCGGTGGGCGCACGTCTGCATTTCGATTCGAAACAATTGGTGCTCACACAAACTGGGGGAAAGCCTCAGACTGTTACTTTACGAGTTTCCACCCGAACGATAAAACGGGTTCCTAACTCGCCCCAAATAGGGATGATCCGAGGCATTGATCTCGAGGAGTGCACCACCCCGCGCCTCGGGGATGGAATCAGGGAACGAGAATACGAAGAAGAGATGCCCAGTAAAGAGGAATGGAAGCATCTGGTTGAACTTTTCGAACATGAAACCCCCGAAGAATTTCGAGTGCGCCCCGACACCGCTCGAAGCTTCCACGTGAATTTTGAAGACAGTGCGTTCACGCCTCTAACAACCCAGGTGAGTCCTTCAGTCCTCCTCGGAGAACCCATATTACAAGTTTCCGATCTGGCTGATGATTTGGAACCCCGTCGCACCTTGTACGAGGCTTACGAACGCGTTATCAGCAAACGGAACAGTATTTGGACGTTTTTGTTTTTCCACCCCGATCGTTACTAACGACAGGAGCCACCATCGCCTTGATTAAACAAGAAGCGGAAGCACCGGTAAGTGACGTGTCGAATCCAATGCAAGAAATCACGGATCTAACAGGGCTAACTGTGGAACCGACTTCGGTGGGTTCAAAGACTGACGCTGAAACTAAAGAAACGAAGATTATCAGCCCCGCTGAGTCCCAAATGATAGCAACTGTCTTTTCTGTTCGCACCAGTAGTTCCGTTTTCTCTAGTGTCCATGAGCGGCGGGAACGGCCGGTTGATTGGGTCGATATGCCCCTTAATATGTCCGGGGAATCGACGATCCCCCTCCCGAGTCACGTTCCCGCGGAACTTCGGAAGTCGTTAATATGTGTATTGAATGGTTACGCAGAAGTGCTGAGCGTGCATGACAATGATATTGGGTTAACTAATGTAATTGAACATGCCATTCTCACGGGAGATCATCCGCCCATTAGCTGCGCTCCCTACCTATACTCGCCAGCTCAACGAGCGGCCGCCTTTCAGCGGATTAAGGAGTTCGAAGCTAATGGATGAATCGAACCCGCTATAGGACCATGGTCTTTTCCTGTATTGATAGTACCCAAGAAGGCTGGGGGGATTCGCATTTGCATTGATTATCGAAAGCTGAATGATATCACGATTAAAGATGTGTATCCCCTCCCCCGGATTGATGAGTTATTGGATGCGATTGGGAGTGCTCGATTTTTCAGCAAGTTTGACGTTCGTCATGGGTTCCATCATCTTCTAGTCCAAGAGGAAGATCGACCGAAAACAGCATTTGTGCTTTTCGAAGACACGTGGCAATGGATTCGATGTCCGATGGGTATCTGCAATGCCCCTGCAAATTTTCAGCGGGCCATGAACATGGCTTTTCATAATTTTGTACAGAAGACTCGTGTGGCACAGAGCATCATCAACTACTGCGTGATTGTGTACATGGATGACATCCTAGTGTATTCGAGTTCCTACGAGGAACACGTGCAGCACATCGAATGGGCACTACATGCGTTACGAGACGGAGGTTTCAAGGTGGCGCTTGAGAAGTGTCAGTTTTTTCTCACCACCATTTCTTTCCTGGGGCACGTGGTGACAGACAAGGGACTCCAACCGGAGCCGCAGAAGGTGGCAGCTGTCAGGGACGCGCCAGTGCCTATCACTATCACGCAAGTTCGCGCCTTTCTGGGCCTAGCCTCGTATTACCGAAGATTTATCAAGGGCTTCGCGGCGATTGCGGGACCCCTCACAAATCTCCTACGCAAGGATCAGCTGTTGATCTGGACGCCGGAGTGCGATCAAGCGTTTTCCAAACTCAAGGCTGCTCTCATTTCGGCTCCGGTCCTTATAAGACCGGATCCCAAAAAAACTTTTGTTCTCATCACCGACTGGCAGCCAGAGGCGATTTCGGCGATCCTTGCCTAGGTGGGACCAAGCGGACTCGAGAATGTGGTGGAGTATGCGTCCAAATCAGTACCCACCTGCAAGCGCAACTACGCCGCTCCGACGGGAGAATGCTATGTGGCTCTTTGGGGAATCAGTCACTTTCGTGCTTACCTGTATGGGCAAAAGTTCACCCTGGTGACTGATCATGAGCCCCTGTTGGCTCTGAAGAAGTCGAAGGATTACTCGGGCATGATCGGGCGATGGGCAACGGTGCTACAGAGCATGGACTTTGACATCCGTCATCGGAAGCACGAGAGACACGGGACCGCGGATGGATTGACACGACTGCACCGGCCTGAGAAAATTCTGAGGAATGAGGAGGTGATTCCGTGGAATGAACCCGAGCAGAAGATTGGACCTCGGTACGGCCAAGTGGAGATCTTATCGAAGCAGTAAGTGACACGAGGACTAATTGTTCTGTTCTACCCTCCCTGCATCCCCTCTTCCTCTGTCATCATGGCTGCCCCACTCGCCTCCACAACCCCTTCATACCCTACTAATTCTGCCCCTCTCACGTCCTCCGCTTTCTTTGCCACCCTCCCCGATAAATTCTGTTATTTTTGCCTGTGCATCGCACGGGTCTATGGGATCGACTGTCATCCCTTCGAGACCGGATTTGTCGATTGGGTGGAATGTGCCACGTGTGTCAATCGTGCGCTCGGAGTCTGCGTTCGATATTGAACGAGTAGCAAGGAATGGAGGAGTTCCCTGTGTAGAACGAACAAACTCCCCACGGAGGTTCTATTCGAGGCCGCCCGTACGGATGGTCCCGAATACGACGAAAAATACCGACGAGCGGAAGTCTGGACGGATAAAATTTTATTGGCGAAATTAGCGGGATTATCATTGGGTCAGCTCACCAAACACGACAGACGTAGGGCGACCGAGAGATCTCGAGACTATCGATGGATCAACGGTCATTTGGAAAAACGTAAAACTGACGGATCGGGTTCGTGGCTGACGGTTCCCCATCCCTTCCAAAGATACGATTGGATCCGATCTGCTCACGAGGAACATGCCGCTCATTTCGCGATACGTGTCACGGAGGCAACTGTAAACTAGAACCGATGGTTCTGGTCCAATATACGAGATGATGTCAAATACATTGTCGCTAACTGTCTGGTCTGTGCCGCTGATCGCGCTTCTATACGGGGACCAAACACGATCGTACCAACGGAAGTAGAGCGTCATTTCCAGCGAGTCAGTATGGACACGACAGATATTGACGTGCCACCTGGCCCAAACCGCAGTGAATATTCTATTTTATTAGTGTTAATTGACCACTTTTCCAAGTACATCGAAGTCTATCCCTGTAAGACCCGAAAGGCCGTAGAAATAGCCACGTACATCGAACGGTTCCTCTATACCCATCTAGATACGGAAGAAATTCTAACTGGCAATGGATCTGAATTTAAAGGTGAGGTAGAAGAACTACTTGCGCGAAAGGGCGTCACGCTCCGACATACGGCACCCCACATGTCCCAGTCGAACGGGTTGGCCGAGAATGCCAACCGTATGATTAAAACCGCCCTTCGCAGGAACTTAGCGGCACACGACACGCGTCCTTGGCCCGAAATCGTATATCAGATCGTCGGGATCCACCGGGCCACCCCTCACGAGTCTACGGGGTTCACCCCCTTTCAGCTTCGAACTAATAGCCTCCCCTGTGTCGATTACCGGGGTAACTCGAAAATTGCCGAAGCAGGGGGTAGAGACACGCGTGCGGCCCTCAAGGCCAAGGCCAAAAGGTACGCCGACTTAATGGAACGGGCCGTTCCGAAGCTAGCTCGAAAAAGGCAAAGGATGACCAAATTGGCCCACGGTAGACAGGTCCGTAGCTATGAGGCTCGGAACGAGAATGCTGGGCCCCAGTACCAATATAAATTGAGGGACCTAATGCAGGTACGTAAATGTGCACGCGACCGGAAACTCGCTCCCAAGTTCTCTGGCTGTTTTCGCGTTGTCGAGCTCGGACCCAACGGCGCCAACACGGTGCGCATCGCGCCTGAGGCTAGTCCCAGCCATAGCTCCGTCCCCATCGTCCGACATACCTCCTACCTCTGTCTCCTTCCTCCTTCCGATCTTCCTCCCTCTGCTTCTTCGGAAAGCGAGGAAAACGACGACGATCTAACCCTCTCTCCTCTTTCTCCCTCTTGTCCCTCGTCCTCCTCTCCGACCTCGCCATGAGTTTTATCACGGAGCGGGTTCTTGACGCACAGCTGCGGCAGCCACGTGGCCACATCTCAGAGATTCAGCAAGTTTGTCACCCTCGGCTCAATACGGATCTCCGCCGTTTGATGCGATTCTTCTGCGACGAAGGTATCTGTGTCGCCGCCGCGTTTCGGATAGAAGGAAGCCCTCACGCGATAGTGTTCGCGGAGGTTACTGCAGTTCATCGGCGAGCGGGTCCCAGAACGAGCCACGTCAGCACAGTGGCAGCATTCACCGGCGACATCAGCTCGGTCAATCCGCTGCGGCATACCGCGATTTTGGCCTCGCTGCGCGAGTGGACGGAGCAAGTGTCCAACGTGTGGCAGCACGTCCTCGTCCGGGAGGGGTATAACATCATCCCGATCTTTGCATCGGATCTTGACGGTATTCGCCGATCACCACGCGAGCGGCCAGTTGCAATCCCATCCCTTGTCCCCTTCCCCCATCCCCAATGAACCACGCCAATTTTTTCGCCCCTCTCTCTATCTTTGGTCTTCCCTCTCTCTTCCCCACCTTTTGGCAATCCGATCTCCACCCTTCCCTCTCCTTCTCGTTCAAACCCCTTTCGGTCCCTCTTATCAATCCTGGACATTGGCGGCTGTGGCGCGAAACTTTTGAGGATCTGTCCTTCTGCTTGGCCAGGATACAGGTGACGTGGACGGGCACTAGCGAACATCCCTCGTGGATCGAGAATCCGGAGCTGCTGATCATAAAGGGTTGGAGGACTAACGCGGAAGGAGATCTTATTGGATTCCTCTTTGGATCGGTACGACCGGGTCGCCGTCAGTTGATTGCACAGGAGCTCATCGCACCGATCGTGTAATTGGCGGACGATCTCTCGCCCGACATCTACTTTCATAGTGACAACAATCATGCTCCGTACATTTTCGAGCGATCCTTGGATCCGTACCTTCAGTGGACTTCGTGCTTGGAGGAACCTAGGGACTAGGATACGCTACCATCGCGGCAGAAGTATCTGAAGTCGTATGAGATCGACCCTCACGCCTTCTACCCGAGGGCAGAAGAAGTGGTGATCGACGACGACGACGACGAAGAAGAAGACGACGACGAGGAATCATCGGAGGAGGGAAGCTATAGTCGACATAGCGAGGGCGAGCTGAGTGAGGAGGAAGAGGAAGAAGAAGGAATCGGGTCCGAGTTGGAAGCCCCGCCGGAGGAAGCGACGCGTACAGGAACGGAGGTGGAAGATCCGGAAGCAGCGCGAAAGCGCGAAGAGATTGCCTCCGGAAGGCGCCAGCTGGAGTTCGCTAGCGAGGCTAGCCTGCGCATTGGTAGCGATCCGATCAGGGATCCAGAGCCGCCGAGGCCCGAAGATGGTGACCCTGCAGCCGTCACCTCAAGTACCGCGCGACAGAGACGGCGCCGATCCCCCTCCTCCTCCAGCCCCACCCGTCCCCCAGTTCGCCCACGTACCGATGCGGGCGATAGGCCTTCGCCCTCGGACGCTGTCCTGCCGACCCCTTGATTTCCTCACCCTCGAGCAGATCCGTACCCCGGTCACCTTCCCTTCCCATCCTTTCCATCCCCATCTCTTCCGCGACTTCTACTCTACCCGTCTACTCGCCACCGTCCACCCCCACGCCTCCCTTTGGTCCGCTGCTCCCACGTTCTTCTAGCATCTCCTGTTGTCCAGCGCTGCATGGGAGCAATGCAAGGTGACGATGGAAGGGATGAATCGCTTCCTACCCCCACTCCCTCCCCGTCATCCCCGCTAGATCCCCGGCATGTACCGCCTCTACTGGCCTATTCCAACTAGGCGGTAGATCCCATTCAACCCCCCCCTTTTTTTTCCTCCCTTCATCGGCACCAATCAGTAAGTTTCGCGAAGACCACGCCATCGACGATGACGTCAACCGACGCACCGATTCGGCGGACGGCAACGAGCAGGGGTGCAGAGCACACGGAGATCAGGTGGACCATGACGGCGTCACCTGGACGATCTCCATGAGGCAAAGGGTTGCATATGACAGGGCTCCGGAGATCTTGCCACGGATGTTGTCGCCATCTCATCCGCGGCCCAGTTATCGTTCCTTGTACTTCTTTTGCTCTGTTGATACGCTTGGTTCCTCATGCATCACTCTGTTCTCCCCTCTTTCTTTCGCCATGACATGCATTCAGGAGATCGCATAATTTTGGAACCCATTGCGCGTCACATATGTGACGAACCATTTCCCGACCCCGTGCTAGCCCCGTTTTGATTTCTTGCTTTTGGGTACCGCATTTTCCTTTTTTGAGAGTTTTTTTTTCGACTGCTAGGTTCTGTTTTTCTTTTTGCAAAGTCGGGAAATACATGGGAATTTACGTGCGCCTTAGCGAGCGCACTGGGAATTGGGCTCAGCAGTTGGGAATT